TGCATGTGTATACATATCATATAAATCACAGTTATACAACAGTAAAGTATAACAACCACGCTGTTATATTGTTATATCACTTAAAAGAAAAAGAAATGAAATGAGCACAGGACATTTAAACCTGCATAATACCTCTGACTGAATGATTTAAGCTCAAAGTTACCCGTTACAGTGTTTTATGAGGTCAGATTTAATAACCCGCAGTCAATACTGCACTCATTTTTCTAAATAGTTCACTTTGAAAGACTCTGATTCAAACTAGGAGTTAACTTGAATGGCCACAGCACTGCACTATTGTTTATTTTTTTATATTTTGCGGATCTTTGACTATTTAATCTATTCCTTAAAATTTTATTAATAACAATGTTCAATAAATGATTTTCAACAAAATACAGATGTAACACCTATCCAGTTTCTGAATGATGGTAAAAAAATCTTGTTTCTACCAGCAGCTGGGGGAGACTAGATTAGAAGATGGTTCAGAAAACCTGTTAGGACACATTTTTTTTCTAACACTAAGTATCAAACAAATGCTGATTTCTATTTCAGCAAATTATTCTTAAATTTTTTTTTAATATTTTGAATAATGTTTTGATGAAGATTTGAGATTCCTTTCACTGAATGAATGGTCACAAAGCTAGTGTTAAGCTTGAAGTCTCTGGCCAAGCTCACGTTTCAGGGTCCTGTTCTCCTCCAGCAGCCGGTTGATTTCAGCACGCCGGCGCTGACAGAAGTCACATTCTGTCAGCGGTGTCTGCTCAGCTCCATCCTCAGCTGGTGCTGGTGTCTCCACTATGGATAAAATAAGGACATCTTTTAGCTAAATGTGCATCATGCAGCTGAAAAAGCCACAAAAGCAACATACGGTGTTGAATCTGCTGGCTCTGTAAGGCTTACCGGGTGGAACAAGGTCATCAATAGCTGTCTCATCCATCGCAGGTGTACTGTCAGTCCTTTGCCGTTTTCTCTTTTCCTGTCTCTCATAGCGTGCAGTCTGTGTGGCCTTTATCTCAGTGTGGCCCAAGTGTAGTGATGGTGCCCAATCCGGATGCGAGGTGTACATTTCATTTGCTGGTTTTCCTGGTGACACAATTTAAAATTATTATCCACAGCAGCAGTGTTGAACACATATAGAACCATAATGTTATCAATGATCCTCAATATACACATTATTAAATTGTATTATATGATTACATTACATTACAAGACGGCTGGTAAGCGCTAGGATCAGCAAAATTTATAAGTGGTGCTATGACAGCTGTCAACCTCAGGGTTTTTTTTGAAAATGGAGAGGGATGTCCCTGTCCTTGTAGGAACTGGCAGTGTGTTCTACCAAAGAGGATAAAATGCTATATCAACCAACGAGGATGAAAATGCTATATCAACAGTCTCTGGGCGCGCGTTCATGCTTGTATGTGGTGCCACGGATGAAGGAAGGAAACACTGTAGGCTATAAAATAAAACCGTGCATCTTTAACTTACCAGAATGAAAATGCAGGGAACACACTCGCATTGACATCAGGATACTGTGGAAAGTTCTGTTCTGTCGTCTTACAGCCGCGATCCAAGCTAGCCGACGACTCTTTGTTATCTGTGAAACTTGGTCTCCGTGTTTGCGCCTCCAGGCAGGACAGCGGTGGAAAGTTATCCCATTTTGTAGGTTTTTCCCTCGGCGATCATGTGATGCGCTGTTACAGCCCACAATACAGCAACGGTTTACCATGGTTGAAATCAAGTTACGGTGAAATTAAACGAAATAAAACACGGCTGAGAGGGAGAACACAGGCAATAGTCTAAGGAAGCCGTAAAGTGCGCCGTCAACATGGTCACGACGACCAAGCCCTATTGCGAGGTAACGCAAAAGGTTTTGCGAGGGAACGCAAAAGTTTTTGCGAGGGAACGCAAAAGTATTGCGAGGTAACGCAAAAGTATTGCGAGGTAACGCAAAAGTATTGCGAGGGAACGCAAAAGTATTGCGAGGGAACGCAAAAGTATTGCGAGGGAACGCAAAAGAAAAAAAATTCCCCATGTCCCCTAGGGGGCTCCGTAGCATTTCTTTTACAACAGACATAAAAGAAGGATTCAAATTAATTCCCATTATTACGGAGCCCCTAAAGGGACACTGAAGAGAAATAAAAAAATAATTATTTATCGTGCGCACCAGATACTTTCTGGTGCGCACCACATCCTTCCTCGTGCGCACCACATCCTTCCTCGTGCGCACCAGATACTTTCTGGTGCGCACCAGATCCTTTCTCGTGCGCACCAGATCCTTTTCCGTGCGCACCAGATCCTTTCTCGTGCGCACCAGATACTTTTCCGTGCGCACCAGATCCTTTATCGTGCGCACCAGATCCTTTCTCGTGCGCACCAGATCCTTCCTCGTGCGCACCTGATATTTTCTTGCATGATTGCACGAGTATTTCGGACAACCGTGTTCATAGAATGGATGTAGATGAACTCATTGAGCTATATTTTCAGTTTGGGCTACCATACAAAGACATCGCTGCATTGCTTGCAAGACGTCACAGTTATGTTGTGTCTGAACGTCACATAAAACGCATCCTGAATTCCTGCGGTCTATTTCGGCGTAAAGGATACACAAACCTTGAATATGTTGTGGAATTCATTCAGACACAGCTCCAAACTACAGGTCAGCTGAATGGATATAGATGGATGTTTACCAAATGTGTGGAGAATGGATTAAAGGTAAAAAAAGAAGAGGTCCGTGTTATATTAAAAGTACTTGATCCAAGAGGTGTGGATCTTAGGAGAACCAGACGTCTTCATCGCCGTAGCTACTTTGCAAAGGGGCCGAATTACATCTGGCATTTAGACTCCTATGACAAACTGAAACCATTTGGAATATGCATAAATGGCTGTATTGATGGGTTTTCTAGGAAAATCATATGGATGAATGCGTTCACCACCAGCAGTGACCCAAAGATTATTGGAGGCTACTTCATGGACGCAGTTAGGAAAATAGATGGCTGCCCAAGGATTGTCAGAGGTGACAGGGGCACGGAGAATGTCAGAGTGAGGGACTTCCAACGTTTTCTAAGGCGAAATATACAGGATGACTCTGACATTGACAGCTACATATAGGGGGCAAGCACATCAAACCAGAGAATTGAAAGCTGGTGGGGTTTCCTCAGGAGGGAGTCAATGGAGTTCTATATTTCTCTGTTGGTTGATCTTAAGGATCGTGGTTTGTACAACGGTGGATACTTGGACAGAAGCCTTGTTCAGTTCTGCTTCCTGGGCATCATACAGGTAAGACTCAGAGTTATCTTGCTTATTTTACATAAAGAAACTTTCCAGCTTGCTATGCATTATTTCCACAGTAATAGTACAAGATGCCAAAACTGATTTTAATCGGTGGGTTAATTCTGAACAGCCTATTTGATAAGAAAGAAGTAAATAAAACAGGGACCAAACAGTGTACATGGACGTAGTATTTTTTTGGGGGGGACGGGGGGACATGTCCCCTGCACTTTTTCAAACGTCTGTTTTGGTCCCTTACTATGGAGGACCAACTCTGCCATATTTAAAAATAAATACAGAAATAAATAAATGCTCAATAAATAAATAAGCATACCATTAATTGCCACCAAAAATACAATAAACAAATAAATGTAAGTAGAAATTAAATTATACTGTGAGACATAAATGTATATAACTCTTTTAATTAGCTTCTTTATTTATTTGCCTTTGTAATATTTACCTTATTGATTTGTCCTTTATAATCTTCAACTTTATTTTTTCATTACTTCTGTATTTCTATATGCATTTCTGCCTCATTATGCAAATGAGTAATTAAAAAGATAAAGTTTAAGATTATAAAGGAGAATTCTTTTTTAAATATAACTAACTAGAGCATGTTTGACCTTCCAATCACAGACCCAATTAAGGGGTGCATCAGAAGCTTGTAAAGGGGGCTTCTCAGAACTTAAAGCGGTGACAGCCAATCACACAAGAAAATACAGTGGGCTAATCAGAAACTTGTGGGCGGTTTAAACTCAAGGAAGCAGGCTTCAAGTTGAGGTGTGTTTTTCTGCTTAGTGCTGGTGCTCGACGAGTGTTGGTGTACCGGAGCATAACATTGTTTTTGGACACTAAGAAGTGCAGGGGACATGTCCCCCCCAACCCCCACCCCCAAAATTACGTCCATGTAAGCTACAGTACACAGACATTCGTTGAGCTCTAGGATCAAGCGGAAAACTGCAGCTCAAGCTGAAATCCACTTCCCTGAGTTTAGACCACCAACAAGTTCTTGACTGATTGCTCATGCCTATTCCTAATATTGCAGCAACTTTTTTAGGCAACTTCCTTAATATACGTATTATTTTTATGGTTGCTTGGCATTATGCAATAGTGCATATTATTTCTATTGGTTTGAAAATGAGACTGTTGATGTCCATGTACTGGGAAATTAGGGAATTATGTTATTCTTATCGTTTCTAAGTTATGACCATCCCTGTTTAATCTCTCTTACTAAAATAAAAAGTATAAGGACACATTTTGTAATGTCATAACTAACTTGACTCTGTGTTCATTGTTTTATCAGGATGAGTTGGATGAGATGACCTCCGTGTGGGATTCACATATTATTCGACCATCAAAAAATGACAGAGTACCAAGTGGCCGACCTAAAGTTATGTACAGGTTTCCAGACCTCTACTCATCCAGAGATTACATTTCCCCAGTAAACAGTGATGATGTTCAACTCTGCATTACAAGCTGTACATTTCGACAAGCAACACCATGTGACACAGACATCAACAATCTCTGCAACTTTCTGATGGTGGAGTCACGTTTGCAGCTCCCATCTGATGGTTTCCAAGCAATAGATCTGTACTTGCATTTGAGAACTAGTATTAGAACTAGTCTATAAGTTGTAGTGACTTATAGATGTTTGTACTGTTTGTTCAGTATCTTTGTAAATAATTTGTATCTTTGAAGATTGTATTTCTTTTTTTTTTTTTTTTTGAAATGACTGCTATGACCTTGCTTATTTAATAAGGCAAATATAGTTCCTTTTTTCTGAGTTTATTCATAAACCTGACCCTTATTCAAAAAGAAACTCAGTGGCAAGTTGAACATTTGTGCGTTTATTTGTTCACATAACAGTCAAAATGTTACTTTGGATATGAAAATCTTCTGAACAAAACTGAAAGTTATCATCACCTATAAAACAAAAAATTGACATTGTTTTTGTCAATATCTTGCCCTTCATCGGGTTCTGTGGTACAAAAAAAATACAGGGATGAAATCAGTTTTACAATTTGCTTAATTCTTAAACTGGGAAAGTACATTTCTCCTTTTGAAAATGGTAAAACAGGGATTTCTGAAAAGAAGTTAACTTTACAATTGCAGTTTTTAATACAGAAACAGAACATCGAACTACTGTGATTAACTAAATCATTGTTTTGAATCAAGCTTTTGGTTTGTAGAGCTGTCAAAAATAAACGTAAACAGACTCTGAACTTTTTGTTACTTCTAATTTATTTTAAGGTGGTGTAATGTAATACTCCTACAGCTTTGCATTGTGTGTTTTACAGGCAATTCTAACAAACATTTTTTTTTTCAGTTTTGCCTGGATTCTCCACTCACATTTTTTCAGACTCAAATTGAAATGACAATAACACTGAAGGGCATAATGCTACAGAATGTCCATCGTAAAACAGTCCCCTGCCAAGATGTTGTCTAGCTCTGTTCTGAACTCGGGATATGACACATAGGTGCATGGCAGCTCAAGGACAGCTCCACATGTGTGTGCCACTACTCTTCGATTTAGGCCAGATAACCTATTGAATGTAATTTCAATGGTGTCTTTGCATAGCACTGTGGACCCTGTGCAGAAGCGCAAGAACTTTTCTAGCTTTTTTTGGTCAATGCTTCGAACATACCTCAAAAGATGGTTTAGAGCTGTCTGCTCCTGTGAATTTAGGCTTTCACTTGATGGTTTTATCATTTGGGCTACTTTTTTGTTTGTTGCTCTCTTTGAATCATAAAGTTTGATAACATTTTCTTTGCTGGCTAGTGATGGCACTGCATTGTAAAAACAGGAGTGGAAACTATCTATTACAAATTTTGGTTCTTGAAGAACTTTATGTGCAATTGTGGAAAGGGAAGCCTGGACATTTTCTTTAGTAGGCACATTGTGTGAGCCCATCCTTGAAAATAGGTCAAGCAAGTCCTCCTCAACATCTTCATCCACGTTTCCTTGTAGAGCTTTGTCTACTGCCAGCCGTTCATGTGCTGAAATGAACCTATGGAAGGACATCATCAGCAGTTCTTCATCCACTGAACTAACCCCCTGAAAGCAGGCAAGGATAAAAGCTGGAGACAATTGGATCGGTATCATGTTATGGTCCAAGTATCCTTTTAACCAAATTCTTCCAACCGCTTCCCAGTGCTTTTCAGTGAAGTCTGGTCGAAGCCTGGGTACTCGTTCATCCTCTCCCTCACACAGCTCTACACTGGAAAAAGTGTAGCACAGAGTTGTTCATTCAAGCTAATAACTTCCATTGAATACAATGTAAAATAATTGACTTGGTTGTGAAAGTCTATTTTTTTGCATTCTGAGGTGTCAATTTTGATTCAGACTGAATTAATAACAATTCTGAAGGGAAGAAAGCAAATATTTTGGTTCCTCTCAAAACGTTATTGAGTCACGTGACTCAATCTGAGTCACGTGAGAAGAAGTTGGGGAGAAGTGCTTGGAGAGCTTCGTCCATTTTGGCATGGGGAAGAAGGAATGATTAACGTCCTAGCACGTCATCAAAGAATAAACCTGCGGTAAGTACTAAACTAAGCTGATGTAAACGTGTCTTAACAAGCCTACAATTTTATTAATGCGGTTAGCTTGGCTACACGGTGAACTTTACTAGCTTAACCCATGTAAAGCCATGTTAGCAATAAGTTAGTCCAGTGCAGGGGTCGGCAACCCGCGGCTCTGGAGCCGCGTGCGGCTCTTTCATTCTTATACTGCGGCTCTGAGTGGCTTGGGAAAATAAATTACTAAAAAAAAACTAAGTATTTAATTTAAGTCAGTGTTTCCTGCAGCACTATCTTGGCGAGGCGGTAGCGTGAGTTTGGCGAGGCCTCGCCAAACTCACGCTACCGCCTCGCCAACTTTCCAAAAGAAAAAAAAAAAAAAAAAAAAAAAAAAAACCCAAACCCCCGAAGTTTTAATTCATTGCCAGGCCCAGACATTAAAACAGAATCGGTCTCCGCCAGTCACGTGACATGTGTTGCTAAGATGCCATTTTAGGTGGAAAAGGCGTAGTGTACCGCGCCCGAGTTAAACAGATGAGTAATTTTCTTCTTCTTCTTCTTCTTATGGGGTTTTATGGCGGTTGGCAGACTATGAGTAATTTTCTTTGATCATCCGAGGAGACGTGTGGGGTGGTGGTGGGGGGGTGACGTGACGTCTTCGTCGTCATCATCATCGGTGAACTATATCTGAAAAGGTAAGTAGTTAATTAAAACTGATAATAGAAAATTAATATCTGCCTCGTGTGCTCTGACAAATTAAGATAGGATTTAGTTTTATGTGTTTAATTTGACCCCCCCACCCCGCTCGACAGTTATCCACTCAAAACTGGTTCCGGCCGACACCTCACCGCCTCGCCTAAGCTAATTCCTGCGGGAAACACTAAGTTCATTTTATTTTTGTTAGTTCTTTAATATTTTAGTCATAAATTGGAAGATTATTGTGATCTTGACATATTAGAATTAATATGTTATTGTTTTTTCGTTGCTCAAAATACACATCATACTCGCATTTGAAAGAGACATTCAGACATTGTGTTATTTTTTCAAGAATTCAAAATGTGTTCATTAGATAAAATTTTATTTTCTCTGTAGCACTTTGATTTCTACGGAAGAGGATTAGGGCCACTGAAAAAAAAAAAAAGTTAACTGATTTTTTTTAATTTTATTTCAGTATAGTATGGGAAAAAAGTCAGAATTCTGACTTTAATCTCAGAATTCTGACTTTTTTCTCAGAATTCTGACTTTTTTCTCAGAATTCTGACTTTTTTCTCAGAATTCTGACTTTAATCTCAGAATTCTGACTTTAATCTCAGAATTCTGACTTTTTTCCCATACTATACTGAAATAAAAAAAAAAAAAATCAGTTAACTTTTTTTTTTTTTTCAGTGGCCCTAATCCTCTTCCGTAGATTTCATAAGCAACCCACTTTTGTTGTTTATACAAAGTATAAAGGTAAGAAAAAACAATATAAACATTATCTTCATTTAAGATAAGATGATAGCCCATCTTCAAAAGGGTAGTCAAAGCACAAATAAGAGTACTGTACGGCTGGGGTGAACCACGAAGCATGAAAGGGAAGTTGTTGTTTTCTTTAAATATTTTTTCTTTCTATTTAATAAATGCATTCATAAATAAATTCATTTTAGATGTCAAAAAGTATTTGCGGCTCCCAGTGTTTTCTTTTCCGTTTAAACCGCATCAAATGGCTCTTTCTGTGTTAAAGGTTGCTGACCCCTGGTCTAGTGTGTTTATACCACTATGATTGTAAAGTCCCAGTTTGTTAATGGTAGCGAGGCCTGTTGAAAATTAATGGTGTTTTGTGCATGCATCACACTTGTATGGTATGGTCGGTGATGTTTCCCAGTGTTCGCCATGCTGGTTTGTCCAACTGTTAAAACGGTTTCACAGGATATGCTCTCGGTAAGCGAATCTCCTTGTTAAGCCTTAAACTTTTTGTTCGGCTCTACAACTGGTTTTCATGCATTTTGTTCGCGACACTGCCCCATTTACTATAGTTTAAGAACTTCATTTTCAGAATGCATTGTGTTTTCAGAGATATGTACAGTACAAGTACAGTGTTGCATTTGCCTGCAGTCATTTTTACATTAGGGTGGCTCGGATTGTAAGAGCGCAGTAGTAGCTATAATGATGTTGAATGAATGAATTTCTGTGTATATCTTAGTTCATACAAAACATGCAGCTCAATGTTCTTTACTACCGCTACACTCAACATTGTATTTAGATATATAGATTACCAGACTGTCATTAAAACAAAACAAACTAAGATTTCTGTTCATTGCATTTTCTAAATATTTACTGCTCTGCTTTCCTTTTTTTAGGTTGGATGTGGAAATGCAAAGAATGCAGCAAGCATTTTTCAAGAAGATCTGAGATACTGAAACACTTGAGAATTGACCATCGGTTTCACGGTAGGCGGCGTCCCTATCCATGCATCCACGCACAATGTCCCTGTTCGTCCAAGACATGGAATGGTCTTCAGAAACATCTCTCTAGAAATCATCCTTCTCTGGAGTCCCAACAAAGACACTCTTCTTTCAAGTGTTACATTTGTGGAAACAATCAGCTTTCTACTGAGCACGTTTTTTTTCCAACATATCTATGAACATCTGAGAAAATATGAAGTAGTCCCATGTATGTTTGATGGTTGCTCATACAAAACCAACATATACAGCAGTTTCCGGAGCCATAAATGGAGAAAACATCAGTCATGCACCATTAATGACTTTAAAAGAGGAATAGTTGTCACGTCACTCATTTCCAATCCATCTGACTATGACTTGAATGAAGAAATAGAGCTAACCACTGAAGAGTCAAGAGATTTGGAAAAGGAAGTTGAACTGAAATTAGCTTCACTTTTACTTAAATTAGAACATACATATTTAGTCTCGGCTACAGCTGTAAATGAATTGCTTGAGGAGCTAGAACATCTCATTGGAGATGTCTCTGTGCCGGGTAGTATAGCAGCAATTAACCAGCATTTGGAAGATAATAATTGTCATGTGGAAGCATCTGTTGTTCAACAATTGGCCACTTTTCTTTGTTCTTCACACCCAATTCATAAAGCAATAGGGAAACAAGGGCCATTGTCTACTAGTTGGAAACGGAAGTCATATTATAAAAGAGAATTCTGCGTAGTGTCTCCCTTGGAATACATTCTTGATAAAAGAAACCAAAAATCATTGCAGTTTGTATCTGTGCTGAAAACATTGCAGCAAATTCTAAATTCTGATGTAATTCTGGCAAAAACTGTGCATTTGAGAGAGAGATATCAGTCACCAGAGAGCGATCAAACAGTATATAGTTGTCCTTTTGATGGTGATTTTTTCAGAAACAACACACTTCTGTCTGCAGACTGTGCCATTTCACTAAATCTTTATGTTGACGAGTTTGAAATCTGCAACCCAATTGGGACATCACGGAGAAAACATAAAATCTGTGCCTTCTATTGGACTTTAGGCAATCTGATCCCTGGTTGTCAGTCTTCACTGTCATCAATTTACTTGGCTCTTCTAGTCAAAAGTGATGATTTGAAAGTGTATGGCTATGAGACTGTACTTGAGCCACTCATAAGTGATTTAATTTCATTAGAAGAGCACGGTGTCTTTTTGCAGAAGTTAGGGAAATGTGTTAGGGGAACGATCCAGTGTGTGATAGCCGATAACCTTGGAGCACATGGTATCGCTGGGTTTGTTGAAAGCTTTTCAAGTGGTCACCTGTGTCGATTTTGTACAGCATCTAGATCAGAAATTCAAACTAAAACTGTAGATAGTGGAGCGTTTACATTAAGAACAGAACAGATTCACTCAGAACACCTTAAAATCCTTGAACAAGATTCTCTAAGTAATTTCTGTGGTGTCAAGAAGAGATGTGTCCTCTCTGAGAAACTCAGTCATTTCAAAGTTACCACGGGTTTCCCCCCAGATTTGGTCCATGATTTATTTGAAGGAATCGTACCGGCAGAGATTGCGCTTTGTCTTTCTGTTTTCACATCCAAGAAGTACTTTACTCTTGCATATTTAAATGAGTCTATACTAGCTTTCCCCTTTAAGTGGACAGACAAAGTTAATTGTCCCCATCCAGTGCCATTGAACTTTGCATCTCGAAAGACAATAGGAGGCAATTCTCACGAAAACTGGAGTCTCTTAAGGTTTTTCCCATTCCTTGTCGGTCAAAAGGTACCTGTGAATGAACCAGCATGGAAAATATTGGGTGACTTAAAAGATCTAGTTGAGCTTATTGTCTCACCTGTCCATACAGAGGAATCAATCGCATATTTGAATTTCAAGATATCAGAGCACAGAGTTCGACTTCAAGAGGTTTTCCCAGACTACCGTCTACTGCCTAAGCATCATCTTTTGGAACATTATCCTCAGCTAATTCGTAAATTTGGACCATTAGTCTGTCTTTGGACTTTGAGATATGAAGCCAAGCACAGTTTTTTTAAAAGAGTTGTTCGTTACTCAAGATCTTTCAAGAATGTTTTGCTGTCTTTGGCGGAGCGACACCAATTTCATATGGCACAGCAGATATTTATGTACCCTCAAAAACCTCTTCTGGAAGTGTCAACTGTCTCAACTCTTTCTGTTGATGTGTTAAAAGAGCATATTGCACAAGCTATACGGCTCAAGCACCCAACAATGGATAATGTGTGCCTGGCTAAAAGTGTCACTTTCAGTGGATTCAACTACAGAAATGGAATGATACTTGCACATGGGTCTTTGGAAGGGATTCCAGAATTTACTGAGATCATCCACATGTTTATTCTGAAGGAGAGACTTTTTTTCATTGTTAAGAAACTGAGAGTGTGGCACTGGGAACACTTCAGGGCCTTCGAAGTTGAAGTGAGCCCTACCAATGACATAATACTTGTGGAATCGGATCAACTGACTGATCCATATCCCCTGGTAGCTTACACTGTGGGAGGAGTGCGTTTCATTACCCTGAAAAGATATATTCAAATTTAAGGTATGCATAATATTTTTCTCTTTTTTAACATTTAAGATCTGCATATTCATGAAATCATTCTATTTTAATGTAATTCATTCTACTTATCACTTTTCAAAATCTGCACTAAACTGACACTGTACTAACTTAAAGGTAGAGTATGCATGGTGGGCAGAATGGGTATTGCAACTATGCAGCCCATTGCAACTGTGCTGAATATTTCTAATGGGATATTTTCCAGAATATTTACTTAGTATTAACCTTGTATTTACTAGGTGACAAAAATGCCTACTTGAAATTTGAAATGAATACTTAGAATGGCATGGTGGTGGTAATTATTTGTGAAAAAGGTAACATTTGTGAATGGGCAGCATGTATTAAGGAAATTAACTTCTAAAAGAATTACATGACCTACCTCTAATGTGGCATGGATAAACCGTGTGACTAGACTGACCTTGAGGGGCTGACATACTGTGACAATGGACTAACAGACAGGGGCACTTGTACTGATATAAAAGGGGTGCATACGCATTGTTTTATATTAGACTAACTTAAAGGGGCACTGATGCACCTTACTTATTACAACTCAAAGCTTTCATCTCATCTGTATGTTGACACAAGGTGGTTGGGAATGTGAATTAATAATTTCTCTTTCCTTCTGTCTTTCGTTTTATTCTCCTGCCACCCAGGTTTTGACTCCAGCTTCCTGAACGTCACTGACTGTCAGGGCATCTACATCAACAACTTGAGATCCAACTTTGCAATATGGCCACTCCCGTCCGACTCCTCATCTTGTTGGGTGACGAAAGCGCTGAGAGGATGGAATTATCAAGGGTGCCGGACACAGTTGAAGAGCTCATTGAACAGGTCAAAAATGTATGCAAACTTTCTGGAGACATCAGGCTGCAGTACAAGGATGATGACTTTGGTGGAACATTTGTTAACTTGAGCGCAACGTCCATGATCAAAGACCTTACTACAATCAAGATCATACAAGCTGCTCCTGATATTGTTCTGAGTTTCATTGAAAGTGTCCCATCTGATCTGAGTGACTTAGACACAAGCCTTGCCTCACGAAACACTGATACAGATGACACCATCATACTCAGCCAGAGCTCTGACAGTGAGGGACTGAGAAAAGAGCCGTGGCCAAAGGAATTCATCATCCCGCCTTTCTCCCTCGAAACAGAAGGTCTACTTCAGAGAGGAAATGCAGAATATGCACAGAACCAAACCAGACTGACACCTTCATCAAAAATGCTGTCCGACATACTGGAAAGATTGGCAGAGAAGATTTTTTCCTACAAGGCTTACCCCACTGATGCAGACCTGAGTGATGTTGCAGAGGCTCTGACACGGAAACATCCCTGCTTGAGACAACCAGACTCCTTCAATGAGAGTTATGGATGGAAACTGAAGCTCAAGTGCAAGATGAGCAACTACCGCACTCAGCTGAGGTCACATGGACTTTCGTCTGAGCTCATGGTGAACACACTGAAATCCAAATCACGAGAAGATGCTACTCCCTTCCCAGCAAAGAATGTGAAAAAGGCGAGAAGAGGGGAGACCAATTACTATCCTCAACCCAGCGGAGACAGTCCAGAAAACCTTGAGAAAGAAAGAGCATCTCTTCTGACTGAAATAAAGATAAGAAACAATGAGAGAACCATACGGGAGAAGATGGCCAGGACTTTTCAGTTCAGGAGGCAAGAGATTGTGGATCAGAAGCCAACCATCGAGAACCTCATGGAAAGATGGCCAGCTTTATTTCAGATGGAAGAGGTACACTTTTTACAACTTTTTGTATACTTAAGCCCATACATGAGAAAATGTTTTTTTTTTTTCTTTATTTCACATTATTCTTAAATTTTAAGTCTATTTCACAATGTTTTCTTGTGTGCAGGTTGATGCAGAGTTTCTGCGGGTTACTGCAGTTCCCCTCCTGACCAGATTTATGGCGCACCTGGACAAGCACTCCCCGCAGCTGCTGAAGATCTTCAGAAAGAAAGGAGGGATCACTAAAGCAAAAAACTGCCACGATCCTTGAGTTTCTTGACCAGGTATGATGTGCAGTATATAATTGGCCACTAACGACAGCCCTCAATCCTTCTACATGAAGAGGGTGTGCAGATGATGTGCAATTGATGTACATGGCATTGTTATTGTGTGCCAAGTTTTGCACCATATTCACTATCAACCATTTAAAAACAGAAAAACATGTGCCACCTGTGAGTACATTAATGTTTAGTAGCACATAGAAAATAATTTGTGCACCTGTCACGGCACCAAATATACTTTGACACTATAGGAACCCAAACAGGAGCCATCCACTCTGTCTTCATATTTAAAGAGGGACTACCAGTGGCCTCTGGCAGATGTACTAGAATGGCTTTACATTTTCACTGCTTTCAATTAGTCGGCCATGGATTCAATATTGACCAGGCACACACTGTAAAAGCACTGTTTATGGTAGAGCTGGGAATTAAGTTGCTAGACTAATCTACACATCGCATAATAACCATTTTCATTGTCCCTAAAGGGTGCTGATGCAGATTGCAGAAGGGAGTGTATCCTCAAAGCTCTCATCATCTACCTGGGAGAACATGTTGAGGACCTTATAAAGGAATACATGGTATGTCAAGATATTTTCTATCACAATGATGATTCAACTTTATTCCTCACGGGAGACCACCTATGCCATTAAATAGGGATGCACGATATAATCGGCCCCCTATCGGTATCGGCCTGTATTGGCCTTAAAACTGAATATCGGACATCGGCCACCCCACGGATATTTAACCCGATATTTGATCAGCTTCTGAGATTATAAAGTCTAAAAAAAATAAAAATAAAATACTTCTTCTTCTTCTTCCTCAAAAACTTCTTTTTTACAGACTTAAAAACTTCTAAAGACGAGGAAAAAATATTGATCCATTAAAATATCCCAATATCTTCATATGCTGATATATTGCCATTTAAAAACACCATATCAATCTCTTTTACTAATGAAATATTGCTATATGTCATCGTTATGCTACGAAATCCCCCGAAAATTCACCAAATGTTGCCATATTTTTATATGTTGATATATTGATGCGGTATCGATCTATTTTACTAACAAAATCTCACAAGAATTTGCAAAATATCACGAGAGTTTGTAACAGAACGATGAAGTTTCATGAGATTTTGAAAGTAAAATAGATCGATACCGCGTTTTTAAAAATCAATTTGATATCAGCATATGAAAATATATTTGAGTATATTATTTTTCAAAGTGTCAGAAATGGATAACAAAACTGCTATTTTCAATGACTACTTATTTTTGTCCAGCTTTAACATCGGTATCGATATCGGTTATCGGCAACATGACTTTTAAAATATCGGCATATCGGATATCGGCCAAAATCCAAATATCGTGCATCCCTACCATTAAACAGTATATAGTGATTAATGGGGTGTGCCAGACTGCAGTTGTTCAATTGCATATTTCGTATATTTTGCCTCAGGTCTCCCAGAAAGATCAAGCCGAGCAGGAGCTGGAGAGGACCATCATGGCAGTCTTCGTCTTCAGAGAGAATTCAAGCCTTCTACAGCAGCCTGAAGACGTTGGGATTGTCATTGATGGTGTGGAAGTCCTCAATGAGCTGCCTTCTGTTGCAGCCGGAGTGGCAATGCTCTTTGGACTTTGCTATGCTCTTAACATGAAGTATCCACAGGGTTTCAGGTTCACCTTTGAGGCCCTTCAGAAGATCCTGATGGAGCTTGGTTCCAACAAGATGACTTCCAAGATTCGCAAACTCAGTGGTGAACTCAAAACTGCACAGTAGTGTATATTTGTGTGTGCTTAATGTGTGCATGTAGTTGCCACTGGCATCTATTTAAGAGGTAGACCACCTCACAGCACTTTGTTAGACAGGCTCACGGGGTCACTTTCATGGAGTGCTTTTGTTGGAATTTTAGTTCTTTCATGATGTTTAGAGATTTAACATTCCTTCAAGTTCAGATGTGTTTGAACAGTTCAACAGTGGATGCTTTCTGTCCATTTAATTTTGCTTGATAAGCCATATTGTCTTTATTTCATTGCTGTAGAGCAACAATGACATGTTTATATTTTTGTCTGAACATGCAACTTTTTTTGGGTCCTTTTTTACTTGAGGAATAAATGGCTTAGAAAAAAACTAATGCTGTAGTGTGTTAAGTGTGATGTGAGTGATGCAAATTGTTTATGAAACCAAGTTTATGAAATATGAAAGAAAAAAAAAAGACTTTCATGGTGCCAATGAATTAACTGGTGTTAATGCCTGAATATTAGTTTGGTGCAAGGTATACATATTTGATGGGTTCAATTTTAATATATTAATTTGGTTCCAAAACTAAAATGTAAATAATTTAACTTGGATAAAGGTGAAGAATTAATATTGGGTCAAGTAAAGTAATATGGTTGGAGTCAATATTAAATAGTCATGTTGTACCAAACCACTTTATTTAGATTCTGTGAAGTCAAATATATTAGATGCAACAAATGGACATCAATTTTTTTAATTTAAGCTGGGCCACACTTTTTCCAGTGTAAGAAACGTTCCCAGAAAGCTGAGTACACCTCTCTTGACACACCGTCACTGTCAAAAGCTTTTTCATTTTTGAGTTCCACTTTTAGCTGAACATTCATAACTCCTGGTTCCATAAAAATGTTTATGAGATCACTAACAACGTTAATTCGTCTAATCTGAACACAGTGAATTTCTTTGTCATATTGGCCTGGTTGTGCAAAGCTACTGTGCAATGATGCAGCTCCATCATTCTGTCTTGAGTGCTGCGAGATAAAAAAGAAAAAAAAAACAGAATTCAACTTTAATAAAAAATAATTTCTGAATCAGTTCTTTTCTTAATAATTTTTTTAATGATTGAACATACATAAAATTGAGAAACTGAATTCTTTTCTTGTATTAATATTGTTTAGTTTTAAATGGCTACTGATTTCATCTATATGACACAAAATATACTAGAGAGAGACAGACAGAGACAAAACTTAGTTTTGAAAGTTTTTTTATATTTACCTGAGAGGAGTTAATGTCATCTTGGTTCCAAGGAAGGGTGGAGTCTAGGCTCTCTTCATCATGACTGGAAACTGGGCCAAATTGAATTTCAAGATCTTCAGCAGATACATTAATAGCCATGACTGGGGGAAACTGAAGAGCTTCATCTGCATCTTCAGTGTGGGATAGAATTAAACAATCATCCTCAGCTTCTGGATTGTCTGGAGCTTCTTGAGGATGGGTTCCAGCAGCTTCAAATGAAGAATCCAGGATTTCTTCATAGATTATTTCAAGAGAAGGTGACTGGGATTGCTTGCTTGAATTGTCTGTCTGTCAATACACACAGTAAAATCAATCAGTTTATAGTGAACTGTTTCATTTTATTTCTGAAATGTTAAACGAAAAATCATAAGTCATAAAATGGTATTACCTCTGCTATCAACATTTTATTTCCTAGATTCAAAAGGTTTTACTTAGGTTGTAATACCACATTATGTGATCTAGTGCATTATATATTAATGCAATATTGGCTTCTAAATGTAAGAAAACATAATCTAATATTGTATTTCACCATGGAAACATACTAAAAATTTAAATGAATGAATACAAATTAACATTATTACATTGGCTAAGAATTTCTGAATTAGTCCCTCTTTCTTAAATTCTTAAATAGTGGTAATGTAGTATCACTTTATGATACACACACACAACTCGTTCTGCCATCTTAGTGAGGACCATGTGTTGACTCCAATTGACTTCCATTCATTTTCAGTCATTTTCAACCCTTTCTATACCCTAACCGTTAACCTAACCATTGGCAAAATAGCATGTGAGTACCAGTAATGTGATTTTGGGTATGACTATAAAATAAGATGTTTCATTCATACATTGCCAGATTTTTTTTGTTTTTGTTTGTTTTTTTTGTTTTTTTTTAATAAAGTAGAACATGCATCACCTCACACTGTATGATTTTAATAAATCCATTAGGGCTTACTTCTCCATGTTCTTCACGTGCTGAAAAAGTGGGTATCACATCGGACTCTGCAGATATCCCTGGTTGATTCTTTTGGTCATTGGTTGTCCTGTCATGGTATCTTCGTCTTCGTTTCCTTGCAGACTGCCTCTGGATTGTCCTGTCCTATATTAAATGAAGAAGTTGTGATGTATATTTTTTCATGAAAAACTGTTTCATTATTCAGCAGGCTTATACACACTTTACACTATTGTTCATACATACTGAATATTTATTGACATTTTTTTTTTTTTATTTAGCTGCGACGTGAATAGAGAGTGTTTCTCAAGCAACAGCACTGAATCTGGGTTTAAAAAATCCAGAGTTCTTCCACTACAGAGTTTTAAAGACGTTTCAAGTTTACTTCACTAATGCAAAAATTGCATTTTCATTGCTTTGTGATTCAGTTATATGTCTAATGGCTGAATACAATAAATCATCCAACTGCATTATTTTTATTTGGAATTACATTACAACATGAACCACTAATTACCTTTCTCTGCGTGTCCTCTGCGTCCTCAAAATCCGAAGATATATCTGACAACTGCTCATCAGTAGATATTTTTTCTTTTTCTCGAGAGCAGGTGTAAATTCGCAGCATTTTTACCTTGGTCTGCTCATACAGTTGGTTAACTGTGCTTTCAAGTGGAACGTTCTCATGACTAAAATCACGTATGTCAAAGACGAAATCCTCCGCTGACCCTTTGGGAGATTTTCCATTTGGAAAGAACAGGCTTTTTCCCATTTCCAACAGTTCCCCCATTGTGACAGTTTTCTGGACACTCAAGTGTCTTGTTCCTCCTCCATGTCTTGTTCGAACCTGGTGAAAATCTCCGTTGTTAAAATGTAGCCATCCAATTTCGACCCGTCTATTATCTTTTGCGGCGTGTTGATTGCCAAAAGGCCGCGGTCTACTGCTTCCAGCAGATCTCTGTTCGGTCAGTTTTTGACGTACTCGCTGCATGAGGGCGGACTTCACTCCTGGAGTTTGGAAACTCTCACTTCTTTGCTGACAAAATGCTCTTACTGCGAGTCGGTCTCCATATTTCACAATATATTGTCCCAGCTCCTCATCGGTCATCACATTTATGACGTTAATATCAATCTAAAAATGAGATCACACAGACAAACTATTAATTATTGAAAAAAAAACAACTCTAAAATAGTATTGAAATAGTATCTGATTGAAGAGGAAGGCTGTAATGGCAATTGCCGCGCTATTGTTAATTTGCTTATTAAAAGGATATTACAACACTGTAATTAAATATTATGCTAATGTTTTACAACCCTAGTATATTGATTAACAAACCTTATCTTCCTTCAGTTTTTCGGCGACATTGTCGGGAATATTTCGGGTTTTCAAAAAGTTTATTAAATCTTCGCCAGCCATCTCTTTAACATCAACACAAAAATAGAGACAATATCAGGTGCGCACGAGAAAGTATCAGGTGCGCAAGAGAAACTGGTGCGCACGAGAAAGTAGGCTATCTGGTGCGCACGAGAAACTAAAACTGGTGCGCACGTGAAACTAAGTGGTGCGCACGAGAAAGTATAATTATTTTTTTATTTCTCTCAGTGTCCCTTTAGGGGCTCCGTACATTATCAACTAAAAACAAAATAAAAGAAGTTTAAAAACCTAATTGCAAACTCTAAAATAAACCAACAAGGGAAGGATTTTTAATGCAATTTAAAGTTTAAAAAAAAATCGAATGACATATAAGTTGTTGAATGATTATTTAGAAAACATTTTTATTTAACTTCCACTAATGTATTAATATGAGCGGAGCTTCATTCCCAAGGACCTCATGGAAATCTGGTCTGTTTTTAGTGATTTATTTGGAAAATAAAGATTTTTGAATTCATGTTCTTGTTTATTGTGATCAGCAGAGATTGACTTTTAAATGTTTTTGACATCTATTAATTTTCATCCTCCCCTCTGTGCAAACCTATACATTTTTTCTGGAACGGCCACTGATGAACAACGACCCCCAACCTGTTTAGTATGGTTTGTTACAGAGTGCAATTAGAGTTTGATTTTGGCTCCATTAATTTGAGTTGTTTTATGCTTTCCTGTCCTTTTTATAGAGCTAACTGGCCGCCTCTAACAACATCTTTCCTGGAACTGCCACTGATGAAAAACAACCACAAACTTTATAGACCTAATTTGTTCAGACGCTGCAAGATGACCAGAACAATTGTTCTGTTTACATGAGAAACAATAATAACCACAAATATGCTAAAGAGCTGCACTATAGTAATATTAAAACTCTTGCTCAAGTTTACTTCAGTTTGTTTATTTATAAAGAACCAATTTACAACCACTTATTCAAGAAAAATTAACAAAATCAAACCTTTATTATAATAATAATAAATAACAGATGAAGATAGAATGACAGGAATCCTTAAACAGAACCAGACCCAGTAGGCAGGATTTGATATAATTCAATTTTAAAAATAAAAACAAGTCACAGCTAATATGATATCAAGGCAATTTACATGAGAGCTTTAAAACAGAAACATGTAACAGAATTCAACACAAACACAGAATGAAATTCAACAATAAGCATCAAGTTAGATCCTATTTACAGCATAATGAAGACAAATTCAGTGTATTATGGCGAAACATATTCAATCCAGGGAAGCTCAGCCAATCTTCCATCAGTCCCTCCTCCTGAGCAATGAAGTGGTGACAGTAGAGAGGAAAACTAGCTTTAAGCAGGAAGGATCCTCCAACAGAACCCGGCTCCATGTCAGCGCCCATCTACTGCAGCCGAGCGAGTCTTTAACAGGACAGCAGACGTCCAACAGACACAGAGGAGCCGGTCCAAGGAGCAGCTGACCATCTCTGGAAAAGAAGAACAGGAGTTAGTGAGAGAACACGCTGGTCTGTGACATTTAACACAGAAACACTGAGAGAGGTGGAACTTTAACCAAGAGAAGAGGAAAACACACAGGGAGAAGCTAAAGCTAACAGCAGTGATAACTGTAGACAATGGATGCTTGGAGAAAATGCCTGAAAATGCTGCATTTGTTGGAGTCTACAGTCGGTTTCATCAGGGTCGTTTCTCTGCTTTAATAAGTTCTAAAAACCCTTCAGAGATCAACCAGGGGGAAATTCTCCCATATTGGATTAGAAGCTGCTTCTGAACTGTTTATCTGTGGTCTAATGGAAAAGTCAGAACTTCTGGTTCTGGTAAAGTTTTGGTAAAAGAGATGAAAATTTAGATGAACATCCATTCATGATGGAAAGATAAGGATTAAAGGTTAGACCACCTTGATGGGATGGTTGTGGCTTTTAAATCTATTTGTTCTGGATCTGTTTTTATTGTCATCACCAATACTGATGAACAGCTGGAAGCAATAAAGGTTCTTTACCTTCTTTCTGGGTGGAGCAGACTGATGGTTTAGCTGCGGGGTCGTCGACGTTTTTCATTCCAGGACTCCAGAATGTTGGAGAGACGAGCAGAGGAGCCATGTTTCTCCTCCTTGGTGGTCTGTGTTCTCCATCCTCTGCTTGAGCTCCTTCATCAATGAAAGCAAAGCGTCCTCAGAGTCTGAAACTGTCTGCATGTGATTCCTCTCTAGTCAAACAACCAACATACCTTCAAACACATGTGGATGGAGTCTGTTCCACGGAGATCCGACTGCTAGAACGCTGCTTCCATATTGAACCTTCTTTCCCTGTAAAAAAAAAAAAGAGGCTAAATTAATCTACAGAATTTCCTCGACACAAATTTAAAAGTTAAGTTTTCTGTTTGTCATGTTAATAAAGGCTTACTCCAGGTGTTTTCCTCTGTGCCGTCCTCAGGTGGGGACTGGGAGGCTCCTCAGCATCCTGGAGGTCCCGGTTCCTCACAGGAGTTCTGCTTTTGGACGTCCACAGTGTCTGAACATAAATGAAAAACTATGTGAGGCCACCTGAAATGTTGACTTTATATTTAAATGATGGATCATTGTTGCTCCTTACTGAACATGCTCTCACTGTTTACTGCTCCTCTGGTTTGGTCGCCGTAGATCTCATCAGCATCTTGTAGCGGCTCGGTCCGACATGGGATTCAGAAAACACAGAAGAGATCCACTGTGGTCAGAACTGGCCTAGATCACATGGAGAGTATGTCTGCAGAGGGTTCTTTCACCAACTGACCAGAGGAACATCTAGAACTAGATCAACTCACAGCTGAAAGCGGGTTCTAATAATCGCAGTCACTCACAACCCACATCCTTCCATCAGTCCTGTCCTCTGCCTCAAACTGCTCTGAAATCAACTAGTCCCTCCAAGCATCGTCTTTACCTTCTCACCATCATCCCAGAGAACAGTTCAACTGATGACCTTAACAAGCTGTGTCACTGTTCTATTCTAGATCCAGTTGGTCTCCAGCAGCATTAAGTTTTCCTCATCTCCACTTTTAGACCTTTAGATTCTTAGTTTGCCTTCCTGTGTTTTTGTCCTCAGCAGCGATGTCTCACTCCTTAGAGGTTTTGATGTGTCCCCAGCAGCGATGTCTCACTCCTTAGAGGTTTTGATGTGTCCCCAGCAGCGACGTCTCACTCCTTAGAGGTTTTGATGTGTCCCCAGCAGCGATGTCTCACTCCTTAGAGGTTTTGATGTGTCCCCAGCAGCGATGTCTCACTCCTTAGAGGTTTTGATGTGTCCCCAGCAGCGATGTCCAGCTGTTGCCTCAGTTTGATTTGCCTCCTTGTGCTTCGCCTGTTTTCAACCAGGATTTATGTTTTTGTCCTTTTCTTTATGTTTTCCATTTGCCTCCATTCTGTTTTAGTTCTTGTAAAACCTTGTTCTTAAATCAACCCTTGGATTGTTTGGTTTGCCTTCTGTTACCTAGGAGATGGTCCAGCTCTGTCATTAGACGTAGAGCATGTTAGATTATTTCTGCTTTAACCAGCTCTCATGTTTCACAGCTTTTATAAATTGTAGCACGTCTCCAGTCTCTGCTCTGATGTCTGTGCTTAAGGAAAATTCTTAAGATCTAAAACTTAAATTAACATCTAGCAGCAGGGTAAAGAAAAGCCACGGTGCTAGATGCTACCTGAGGCATCCCTAGACCTGCCAGACTCCTTAACATCTAAAAAACTAAATCTAGCAGCGGGGTAAAGAAAAGCCACAGTGCTAGATGCTACCTGAGGCGTCCCTAGACCTGCCAGATATAAAACCAATCAATAAATTATATCTAGATGTGATCTTTCACCCTTTCCACCTCCAATCAACATCAAATCACCAAGGAAATACATCTAACTCCTGCAAGATGATCCAAAGCAAGATGGTAAAATGTTTGGTTCTTCTGCTTAAGCTTCAGCTTCTCTTCATTGTGAGAAGCTGCTGAAGGAGTTAAAGGAAGGTTCTTGATGAAATTCCTATTCCCTCCCACGACCAAACATCTTCGCAGGGGGCTCCTCTTCATCTTCGTCTTCCTCTCTTGTCCTCCTCCTGGAGACAGAGCCGGTCCCTGAAGGTTGGTGGTCTTCTTCGCCCTGTGGTGGAAGGTGGTCATCGTCTTCATCGTCATTGTCTTCATCGTCTTCGTCGTCATCGTCTTCATCTTCATCGTCTTCTGTCTCAGAGCTATCGCAGAGACCATACATGGAGCCTTCACTAGACCCATCAAGAGACTCACCATTAAAAGGCCAACCAACCTCATGATAATCCCCTATCCTGTCATACACCGAAAACCCAGGTACAATCTCTGCACCATCCGCGGTAAAATCTTCCTCATAGTCTTTGGAGGAAAGTTCTATCCTGATAAGAAAAGGGAAATCAACCTGATCCGTCATCAGGATGCAGAGCTCCAGGGGAGGATCAGATGGAAGCGGGGCGTCTGGAGCAAAGAGGAAAAAAAATCATTAGACCAGGAACATTAATTAAGGAACATTAAATAACAAAACTCAATGCTTTATTTTAGGTTGCTGGCTGTGCCTGTGTGAGTTAGTCAGGTCTAAGTAGATTTAATAAAAAAAGAATATCAATCTGTGAGCTAAAACTAATTAAAAAAACATCTAATCATTGCTAGTGGTTTGGTTAGTGTTAAAAGAAAAGTTTAAGTCGTTCTAAAAAAACACATACATACAAAAATACACACAAGTATTTATATATTTCTATATATCTGTGTATATGATCCTCAGCGTCAGTGGGAGGAGCATTTTTCTGATTTCACCGTCACAATGAGGAGTGATCGTTGTAAAGGGAGGACATTTTGCTCGTCCTCACCAGCTATTTTTGCTGACGGCTAATTTAAGAACAAAAAACTACAATATCCTTTAAATCACAAGACCAACATTTAATTGTTAATTTATTTTAAATTCAAATCTTTGTTTTACTGGTTAATGGGGTTTAGATTTTTATTTCAGGATGTTAACAATAAATAAATTCTCTCTAAATGGTCCATTTATTTTATTTCGATTACGCTCCCTACAATTACACTAAACTCCCACTAGGGGGCACGCGTCCCCCTTTGGGAGCTGCTGACCCAGACTATTAATTCGGATTAGTTCAGATTAAAGGACGTTTTAAACTGTAAACAAACCTTTTTTTATTCTTTATCAGAATAAAAAAAACATTTTGACTGAGTGATTTGGTAATATAATCATGAATCTTTGAGGTTAATTAACTATAAGCAGAAAATTGTCCTGATTAACAGAAATAAAGGCTTAAAAACATCAGGCTTTAAATTTCAGATCTATAATTTCTCAGAATCAGAACCTCAGCTTATCAGACCCCTTCCTCAATGCATCCTAGAGTAGAAATAAAGACTTTTATTAACACATAGAAAGCCCAGAGCAGAAATGGAAATTAGCAAAATTTAGAAGAATTTTGTTCTTTTTCTAAAACCTCTAAGAAAGGGTCCTATACAGAACTTTTAATGGTTTAGGCGAAACCCTCCAGTGTTGAATGTTTTGAAGATCTAGAAAATGAGTCCTCAATGAACAAATTGTATTAATAAAAAAATAAGAATTAGCTCAGAAATATGTTAAAATAATAAATTGTTCTAAATTGATGTTTTAATTCTACCTTCTCCCTGTAAACATAAACATATCATCCTCCTTTCTAAACTCTTGATTAAACATTTATTCTCTATTTTTTCCTCACACGGTTAGCAATGGCAGCACTTATAATAAACTTACTCAACTTCTAAACATGTTACAGCCCAAAAATGTAAATTATCTCATTTTTATTTCACACTAATTTTAAGCCTTATAGTTGTTTATTGTTGTATCGATAGAGACCATACTTGTTCTCTGACAGAAGGGGCCAGACGCCACCTTGTTTTTAAAGGATTGGAAACCAAATTCACCAAAATGACCCTTTGAAACCAGAAACTTTAAAATAAAAAACATTTTTATCACCTTTGGCCTTCCATTAAATTAAAAAAATATATGCTACCTTAAAAAAGCCTTAAAGTTGTTTATTGTATGTATCCATGGAGACCAATATGTTTACCAGAGCATTTTTTAAAAAGCTACCCTTTCCAGTTCCAATGTATTTAACAATATTTAGTTTATCCTAAAACAATTTATTTTGTATTTTTTAACCATTTCCACATGAACTTAATCAAAAATTATCTTCCTAAACCAAAATGTGTTTTTGTTTTATATCATTTCATTTCTGTTATCATTCCTCCTATTTCCAACCAATAAAACATCTATTTAATACATATTACCCCTTAAAAACCTTTTTAAAAACACTGATAAAAAACTTATTTCCTAAAAACATTTACTAAACTAAACAACTTGAGAATCTTCATCTCTTCTTTTTTCCAGTTGTTTATCAGCTTTAAATTCAGTCGACTTCCAAAATACTAAAAATGATAACTTTTTTATTAAATGGAAAAAATAAACAGTTTGGCTTGATAATATATTATGTTAAATGTCCTTTAAATATATTTGAATATTTATTGAATGTAATTTTACCAACATATCCATAAAGAGCAAAATGCATTTTTTTAAAATCATAGAGCTAGCGCCATCTAGTTTTCAAACATTTCACATCTAATTCAACAAAGGTGTTTCTCTCAAACAGAAATAAGAGTTATTTTCAAATCATTAAATCACTGTTAACATTCCCGACGAATTCAGTCGACTAAAAACATTTAATCTCTGAGTTGTCAAAGATGCTACATGCTAAGCTAGCTGCTAAGCTAGCTTAGCATGTAGCCAACTCCATGAAAAAAACATCAAATTAATCATTTTTCACCTAACATTTTTTTCATTAACATAGCAAAAGAGTGACATAAACCTTCCAGGTGATGTCCCGACAAGTTGTTCTCCTCTGGTGCGTTGCTCATCTTTAGCAGGTTAGCAAACCACAGACTGCAGCAAGTTCAAGCGTCAAGGTCCAAGTTAGAAATGAACGGTTAGAGATAGGCGCTCCGTGTCCATGACAACCGATGGGCCTGCGCATGCGCGCGTGTTTGAGAGAAGCTTGCTAATTGCAGCAGCTAATTAGCCAAACAAAGCAGTCTTTTTACAATACTATAGGTTCATCCTCAGCTAAACGGGAGTTCAGTCAAAGTTCGCATTTAAAGAGGCAAAACAGCGAGTTCTAAAGCTCACTGCTCACTTTCTAAGGTTTTCTGCCATAGTTTGAAATATTGTACAATAAACCTGAATCTGAAATTGGAAATAAATTTTATTCTGAATGAGAGACGTGCTTTTTTCCGTTCACCATTATGATTAGAGCCCAAATACAAATAACAGAGTATTACGGCCAGGCTAGAGATTTTTTTTTTTTTCAAGAATAAAGTCCTAATATTATGAGAATAAAGTTGAAAAATAACGAAAATGAAGCCATTTTACCAACCAGCATATGATTTTAGACAGATTTATTTTGTCATTTCGTTAACACAAGTGTAAAACAAAAAGAAATGTTGTTAAGAACAGCTTTCTAGACAATTATTTTTAATTGCATCCTTGAAAACAGTAAAAAATTACATAAAAAAAAATGTCAGAACAGTAAATATACAGTCATATTAACATATGACTGTATATTTACTGTTCTGACATTTCAGTTTTCTTTGTTTTGTTTTTTTAACAAAATATAATAAATATAATAAAATACAATAAATGAACCCATTTTATAAAACATTCATCAGTCTAACGGCAGTGGGGAAGAAACTGTTATGGAATCTTCTGGACCTGCATCGGATGCTTTGAAGCCTCTTCCCAGAGGGCAGCAGGGAGAACCTTCCATGGTGGGGGTGTGAGGGGTCATTAATGATGTTACGGACTCGGGACATGTCTTTAATAGAGGGGAGAGGAGCCACAATGATCGTCTAAAGCTGCTTCTAATAGTTTCCTAATCTGCACTTTTGCTGTTTGACCAGCAGAGTGCAGCAGAGAGGCCTTGACCCTTATTTGAATCTTTAATAAAATGATATCTCCACCTTCCTGTAAAGATCTGTATTTTATATAAACGTCCTAAAATAAAATATATATATATATATATATATATATATATATATATATATATATATATATATATATATATATATATATATATATATATATATATATATATATATATATATATATATATATATATATATATATATATATATATATATATATATATATATATATATATATATATATATATATATATGAGATTAAATAGATTTAATTAGAAACCTCATAATCTACATTTGTTAAAAACAGAACTCTATGTACTTTTGGTCCCTTAAGTCAGCAAACATTTTGTTAATTCATCAAAAAACTACAGATGTTTGGCTTTTTGTCATATTGGTTTGTTATCTTATGGATAAAAATAAACCTGATGTATCATACAGTCATTGCAATGGAACGAATGAGGAACTTAAGGTGAGACACTTCATGCAAAAACGTCTTTTTTTACAGAATTTAGCAACAACTCTGAGCATGAACTCTTTATCCTGAATTAAAGCTTTAAGCCTGTTTAACAGTGTAGCTACTTTCTTAAGTGAATATAGATTAGATTAAACTTAACTGTCATTATAAGTCAGAAATAGAAAGCAAAAAAGGCAGATAATATCCAACTTAAACATGATCTGTTTAGATATTTACAGAATTAAGACCTATGGCGTAAATTTCCTTCAACTTTTATCAAAAGTTCGATATATTTTACCATATTTCCAACATTTTACCATAGACAAAACATAAGTGTTTTCCTTTGTTTTCACTGAAGTAAAAATGCAGAAAAATGTATCACAGGAAAGAATATATAAATGATTAAAAAAAAGGCTACAACAACCTACTTCATAGGCCACAATAAAAGCAAGGTAAACTAAAAGTTAGCCTATATTATGCGCATCAATTTCCTGATACATTTCCCAAATTAATATATTTAAAAAGCATCCAAAACTTAATTAAAAGGAAATGTACCAAAAAGTAAAGAAGTGTATGTTTGGTTGACAGTTCAGTGAAATAAAAACCTAAATCTTGATGGTTGTCGTTGGACTGGATAATTAAAATTTGAAGAAGACATTTTGGTATCGTTATAACTTTTGCTGGTGTTAAAGAGGGATAACTAGTCTTTGTCCAAAAGACAAAATATAAAATCTGGTGTCATGATTTTATCTAGAACTTTGACCTAAATGCAGAAGACCAAACAGAGAGACCAGGGAAAAGTTTAACAGGTTTTTATTGAGAGTGAATGAGATGAATCCAGTGCTGCTCTGAACACTGTCAAACCAGAACTGGAAGGTGAAGGGGAAGACACTGCGGTTAGTTCAGGCTCAGTGGGAAATTAGTGTCTTGGACTTGAAGAAGAGGATTAAGGTTGCATACTCACGTTTCCAGAAAAAGGTGTCTCTTTTTGACTCCAGTCGGTGTGGGCTGTTCCAGTGAATGTCTTGTTCGTTAGAGGGCGGACAGGGTCTACCCAGATTACGGTTGTTCCTTGGTGAACAGAGAAGCTGACTGCCACTTAGTTTTCCTGCGGCACTTGAACGGGTTTTAGTGGAGATGAATCCCCTGCTCAGAGAGAAGCCCCAAACAATCCTTGGGGGGAAAAGTTGATCCAAACCACAAACTTTAATCCTCAGCTCAGTTTGGTGCTCAGAGAATCCTTCCAGGGGGGAGAAGGTCCAAAACATCCTGTATGCATGATGACTTGCTGACGAGAGGCAAAGACAAAAACAGCAAGATTAAAACTCAGGTAGAACAAAAACTCAGATTGACTGAGCAAAACTCAGCTTGGCTAGAGTACCCAAAACTGGCAATGAGGCAACCATCTGCAGGTGTGTGAGGAGGACAACGAGAACCTTGCCTTCCAGCAAGAAGGTTTCTGGTTCAATTCCCAGCCCAGGGTCTTCCTGCATGGAGTTTGCATGTTCTCCCCATGCATATGTGGGTTCTCCCTGGGTACTCCGGGTTCCTCTCACAGACTGAAAAACATGACTCTAAATTGTCCTTAGGTGTAAGTGTGGGTGCATGATTGTTTGTTTTTAGGAGTCTCTGTGTTGCCCTGCGATGGATTGCTGAGCTGTTCAGGGCGTACCTGCTGTTTGCCAATAGACTGCTGGAGATAGACATCAGCCCCACTATGACCCTGACAGATTAAGCAGGAGAGGATGGATGGATGGATGGATGGATGGATGGATGGATGGATGGATGGATGTTTAATGTCATGTCTAGCCTCAGTTTTCTGCCACACATAACATTCTGGTTTTGGCCTAAAAGTTCCATTTTACTTTCATTTAATCAGATAAATTCGATCCAAATGTTTGCTACTTGGTTTGTAGCAATCTTCAAAACCTCCTTTTTTTTTTATTTCAAAAGCATTTCCAGAACTTTCTATTAGTCTGTAATGACTTTACTTATTGTAGGTATGTCTAGTAGCTGTGAACAGTTTCTCCCTTCTTTGCAGTTACTATGCAGCTCATAGCTGCTGCTCTGACTGATTCTCTCCATCCTCCTTCTGATGCCATTTTAACAGGATGGCCAAACATTTAACTTTCAGATGATTTACCAGTGATTTAGTTTAGGATTTCTTTATTTCGTAGGGAAAAACACATAAATTCACAATATGTTAAGGTACCAGCAGTCTATCTTTTTCATCTGTTATCTCCAGACAAAGGAAAGTTTGTTTGTCTAAAATCAACAAAATTTTTACAATCAAGGTCAAAATTATTATTATTAAACCACACAAATTCGTCAATCAATAAAAAAGAAAATACAATCTATTTAAACCCTAAAAACACAAGAAAACGACTTGTAAATCTCATGAAATTAAAAAAGTAATGAATATGCATGAGATATTCAAATATTTTGGAACATTGTATAACCTAATACCCCGTTTACACTACCCTTAAAAAACTGAGCCGAGACCGGTCCGAGCTCAGTAACTGAGATAACTTGTCGTGTGTGAACGGAAACAACCTGAACTGAACCGAGATAGACATAACCGGACCGCGCTAACTGCAGACCAGTTCCCGAGGTGGGTTCGGCTCGGTTTTTTTCCTGGCTCGGTTCTCTGATAACAAGAGCGCATGAGCAGAACGCGTCATCGCCGACTGGCTGAACATGCCGATTCACACTCCATTCGAGAAAGTCGGCTTTTGGGAAGCCGACTTTCTCAAGTACATCCGCGCAAGGTTGCCGTCTTCGCCTGACCCACCGCAAACACCGAAGTACAGCAATAATAATCAAGCATAACTTTCTGAATGTGACGGGCGCCGCCATTTTGATTTGCTTGATTCCCTCCTCCTTCGTCTTCTTCTTCTTGGGTTTTACGGCGGTTGACAAACAGCGTTTGGTGCATTACCGCCACCAGCTGCTTGAGTCCCTCCTTCAATCCTAGCAGTAATACCGCACATCGTCACTAGGAGGCGAGGAGTCAAGGAGTCGAGATAACCGAGATAAGTGTGACGTGTGAACGGTCGTCAAAACTGAGCTTGGCCTGGTTACCGATCCAAGCTCGGACCGGTCTCGGCCTGGATCGGTTTTTCAAGGGTAGTGTAAATGGGGCTTAAGTTTCCTTTACCCCTCAACATTTTTTCCTCTATGCTTCTGCCATGTTCTTTCTTGTTTTAAATGATGTTTAATATCTGAACATTTAAATTTGTGTGTGTTCAATATTGTCAGGGGGTCCAAGTAAGGTAGACTAAAGAGAAACACCATGAATTGTTTTCATAAAGCTTTCTGACTCAAACTTTTTCCAATCAATTGTAGTTTGTTGGTGAAGATCGCCTATTCACACAGGCCAACAATTCCCTTTAACGACCCCCCTGTTCAGAGACATAGACAGGTATTGGGCATTGCTGGCAAACAAAAGAAGCCAAACGACCCCCATCCCAAAGGTGTGGATCCCTTCATCTGTTGCCATTTGCAAGTTTTCAAAACAAAAACAAGGTTTTGTTGAGCTACTGTATAAAACCTCAAAGTCAAGGCGATTCCTGACATTTTGAATTGAGAAAGCGAAACATCTTCAAATTTGGAAACAAAGTCCAGTGGATTGTTTTCAACTTATTTTGGTAAATTGCTGAAGGCAACATACCAAAAAGATGTTAATTGAATCACAAAAAAATGAATATTTAGGTAAACAGTATGGAGGTTACTTTATGGTAACGTTTGTAAAATTGCCCATTGTTACAACTTATTTGGTTGTTTTTGTCTGCATCCGGTGTATAAAAGCCTTGACGCTTTTATTTTGAAAGCGTCACGCACTAGCTTCCTGTCTGCGCCACTGGAAGCTTGACGGACCTGGTGTGGATCAGCCGGAGTCGGAGCGGAGTTGGCGCACAGCCGCATCAGAGGGGCGTCCTGACAGGAGCGGCTGGAGGAGAAAAACCTGCTCACCGACTTCCTACCAGCTTCATCCACATGTCTGCTTCATCCGTAAACAGCAGCAGCGACACTTTCTCACATTTTTAAACACATTTACTGACTGTTTGGAGACAAACGGAAAGAAAGGAGTCCATCATTCAGCGCTGCGGTTTAAAGTGGGAAGTTTTGCTCCGGAGATGTCTGGGTCGTTCTGCAGAACTTTGTACCCGTTCAGCGGGGAGCAGCACCAGCAGGGGCTGAGCTTCCAGGCAGGGGAGATCATTAAGGTGGTGCAGGCTCTGCCCGGAGGATGGTGGGAGGGGGAGAAGGATGGAGCCAGGGGATGGTTCCCCTCTAGTTATGTGCAGGTTCTGGAGGTAAGCACTTTGTTTTCTTATAAAGGAAGATTTTTAATTCATTTATGATCTGGTTGTAATGTAAATCAGCTCACTGTTGCTCATCCAGCAGCTCACAGAAAGTTGCCCAGACTGACGCGCTGGTGGAATAGTTTCCCCGTGCTGCTGTTTATCAAATTAAATCCATATCAACGTGCATGGAGGGCGACTTCCTCATTCCAAACGCATTCCAGGGATGTGCTCAGATGTGCTGATTTTTTTCTCAGAATTCTGACTTTAATCTCATAATTCTTACTTTAATCTTATAATTCTGACTTTTTCTTCCCAGAATCCTGACTTTAATCTCAGAATTCTGACTTTTTTTTTTTTTCAAAATTCTGACTTTAATCTTATAATTCTGACTTTAATCTCATAATTCTGACTTTAATCTCATAATTCTGACTTTAATCTCATAATTCTGACTTTAATCTCATAATTCTGACTTTAATCTCATAATTCTGACTTTAATCTTATAATTCTGACTTTTTTTCCCCAGAATTCTGACTTTAATCTTATAATTCTGACTTTAATCTCATAATTCTGACTTTAATCTTATAATTCTGACTTTTTTCCCCAGAATTCTGACTTTAATCTCAGAATTCTGACTTTTTTTTTTTCAAAATTCTGACTTTAATCTCATAATTCTGACTTTTGTCTCAGAATTCTGACTTTAATCTTATAATTCTGACTTTTTTTTCCAGAATTCTGACTTTAATCTTATAATTCTGACTTTTTTCTCAGAATTCTGACTTTAATCTTATAATTCTGACTTTTTTTCTCCAGAATTCTGACTTTAATCTCATAATTCTGACTTTAATCTTATAATTCTGACTTTTTTCAACAGAATTCTGATTTTAATCTCAGAATTCTGACTTTTTTTTTTTTCAAAATTCTGACTTTAATCTCAGAATTCTAACTGAATTCAGACAGCTAACAAACATCTTAGCATCAAGCTGTAGTCATGTCTGTTTTAAAGACTAAACTACCTTTCTTGTTTTAATCACCTTCTGCTCTTCCATTAATAAAAAAAACACTTAATGGGCACTTAAAAAGTTGCTAATTCCGTCATTTTCCACCAATGAGTTACTGTTTCTCCCAAACAATTCACATCTTTGTCAGTGAGGCTTAGTGCTCCTAAATCTTCATGGTGCCCATCTACATTAAGATCCAGAATTCTGAGGAAAAAAGTTAGAATTCTGAGATTAAAGTTAACATTCTGACTTTTTTCTCCATATTATGCTTAAATAAAATTTAAAAATCAGAAAATCTTTTAATTTTTCAGTGGCTCTAATCCTCTTCCATAGATACAATGTTTTTAAACCTCACTATTATATTTGGAGATATTATAATGTGGCATTATAAAGGACAAATTAATGACCAGTTCAGTAGAAGAACTTGCTGATGATGTTTATTTCCTATAGTTGTGTGAAGGCTATGGAGTATTTGAACCAATGAAACACAGCTTTATTATATTGTGAAGAAGTGTTTAACTACCAGTGTTCCCATTCTGGAAAAGTCTGGAAACAATGTGAACTTTGATTCAGTATTTTCATAGTAGGTGCTCCTGTGAAAGATCATTTCTATTTCTAGACTCTGTTCTCCTTATTGCATTGATTATATTTTATTTCCTTCATTCCTTTCCTGTGTGTCCTTCTGGCCTATATTTTAAATCCTTTCCCTGTTTTTCTCGGATATAAAATGACATTCTCATATCTGTCATAGATTTTATACACCATTTTGTTTTTTGTAGAGTTGAATCTGTGGGAGCTTTGCTCTAAATTTCCCTTTCGGGGCAGTGAAAGGTTATTTAAATCATACATTATAGTAGCAGGACAATTCAAAGTGTTGCACATAATAGCAAAATAGGGCAAAAAGTACATAGCATGATCGTTGAAAAAATAAAGATGAACTATAAAACTATAGGAAACTATAATTTTGAAAAAAAAAAAAAAATGTAAATCATGTCACAGTGTCTGCATCAAACTGACCATATCAATGCAGTTTTTGTTTTTGCAACATGTTATTTTCTCCCAACATTTACTTTTGATCTCTGCTGCACTTTAAGAAATGGAAATATCATTAGAGCTGTACTAAACGAAATTTAGACAATAAAGTTAGTCTAACTCTATGTCTATACATACTACAGATCAATAAGTGTTTAATCTGGAACCATCAAGTTAGGATTTCAGCACTTACATTTTTCTCTGACTTTATTTCTAAATTAGTGGAGCATAAGACCTAAAAGAACTTCTTCATGTTTGGTTCTGGTTCTGGGTTTGCAAAGTTGACTTGAGACAGAATAGCTGAGAGATCTGAGTGTTTGATCCACTAACAACAAGATTGTAATGTATTTTGGTGCTACGCAATTGTTTGATTTATAGACCAATATAAGTACTTTACAAGGACTGGGTGTAATGACTTTAGAACTCTAATTGTTGGTGAGGATCCAGGCAGCAATATTCTGGATCAGCTGCAGCTGTCTGATCAACTTTTTTCTATAAGGACTTCATTGCAGTGATCAGTTCTACTAAAAATAAATGCATTCAATAGAGTAGTTCCATGTAGTTTATGGATGAAATTCTGGGACTTCTCTCGGTCTTAAAAGAATTTCAAAGAACACGGAAATTCCTCCTGCAACAGCAAATATTCTCTCTAAGGGGACAAACAAACACCGAAAATAATGTTTCAAATATTTGTAGCCTTGAGTGAAAGTCAAACAGAGCTGCATTGTTTTCCACTTTTAAGTTAACCTACTAAGCATGAGGTGTAGCTATATATGTATATATATATATAATTTCTGCTACCTTCTCTTAAGTTCACATTAAAAGACAAGTTTGTGGCTCACTTATCATGGTGGCCATTGCCACCCTCTGTCATAGCAGTGGAAGAGTGGCTATAATCAGCATGAGGGAAAGAGAGCGATGGCATTCTCAGCTACCCAGAGATGCTGTTTTTATCGCATCTCCACCCTAATTATGACTCTTTAAGTCAACGGATGCTCTTTAAGACATAGCTTCAGTAGATCAGCACAACTTCATTTCTTTAGGGATGCCGTGGTGCAGACAAAACATTGCTTATCTGCACTGATAGCAGCTGAGGAACAGGGCTGGACAGCTCACCAGCAACAGGGTGGGGAAGGTTCTTCCTGACAGGAACCTGCCAGACAGTTCAGGGCAAGTACAGCAGGACACCATGGAACGTCCAGAATCAGCTTTTTACTCATCTTAACTGCCTGTATTCTACTTGTAATTTGAAGCTTGGATAGAATCAGTTTAAAACTGATTTTTTGAACTCATTTGTCTGCTTATAATATAAATATAATGATTGAACTTTACTGATCTCACATTGGAGAAATGTATCTCTGCATTTAACCCATCCATTTGGGGAGCAGTGGGCTGCCATGGTGGGGCGCCTGGGGAGCAATTAGGAGTCAAATACTTCGGTTTTAACATTTGATCTGAATCCGATCATCTCTGCACATGGATAGCCATCTGTGAGAAAATGCAGCACAGAAAATATTTAAGTGATTCCTTGAGTGTCCAGAATTACATTTACTAAACCCTCTACTTAATGCATTGAGATAAATGCAGTTTCTTGGTCTGTACTGGGATCATTTGAAATGCCTTTATGGGTAATTTTACTTTCAAGGCTTTTTTCTGTCTCTTTGTGGTCAAGCTGGGACTCTAGCGTGTCTAGGTTCAAGTAACAAAAGCAAATATTTGCTGGTTGTCGCCAGTCAACCCGGATCATTCTCAGCCTCTCTGTAGATCACAAGCTGTTAATAGAAAACATCTGGGGGTCGCAGAATGACAACAGTTGCCCAACAAAAGCTTGTTCAAGTAGAGTTATGGAGGAAATAAGCTCCATCCATTCATCCATCTGAATGGATGAACTGAATCGCTAGTGCTGGCTTAAAGAGATGATGATTTCACTAGCTATCGCATAAAAAGAAGAAAAAAGCAAGCTGTATTTTGGAATACAACAGGATATGAAGCGATTATGATATTTCCCTCATCAAGAAATCCATACATATATCCATATCCTTTATTTAACCATTCGTGATGTTCTTACAGTTCTTACCTCAGCTGTTTTCCTGCACCATAGTCTAAACGGCTGGTTATCCTCCCGCAGCAGAGTGTTGCAGTGAGCTTGTCGCAGATATTTTTGATTTCTGCCCAATATTGAAGCGTGGTCTGCGTTATGTTATTCCACGCCACAACGCAAGAGGGACAATCACGATCTAGCTGTGGGTCTAGGTACGGCCGAGATGGTGAAAAATGGTGGAAGTTTGTGCGACAACGGAGGGACCGGAGCGGGGATCCAGGTGGAAAAAGGGTCCCAGCGTTCTCGCGTACCTCATTCTTCTGGCTGCTTCATCTTCACGAGTCGTTTTCCACAATGGCGGTCATATACACAAAACAAGCCAGTACTAAGGTACCAAACAGGTCTAGAGTGGATGTAGGTGTGACCAATCAGAGGCCTCCTTTCTGCGGTCACCTACAATTTTGGAGAGGTGCAGCAGAGTGTCTGCAAAGGGGCGGGGCATATCTGCGTTAACTGCGACCCACACAGACGACCTGGTTTCTGAGTATAAATTAGCCTTAATAGACACAGAATGGTAAGTGAAAGAACAGGAAAAAACAGAACCATGAAACGGGGAAATGGTTTTTATCTTTTTACTGGAGCCGTGTGGCAACGGCATTCCTGCAACCAAGGAAGTGTGCATTAAATGAGGGCCATGTTTTGGATAACAATGAGACATATTTCATTTAAACGCGTACTTATAGGTTTCACAATCTGTAATTCACCAGTGGAAGCTGCAGCATGGCATGGTGAAATGACTGAGAGTGAAACCAAAGTTCACTTCTGGTTTTTCCACTATTGGGGTGTTTTGTATCCCTTCTGTTGGGTGAGCTTCCTTTGCTAATTTCAGAATTACAATTGATCATTGCCTTAATATGCGTCAGATGGAGGTTTGTAAG